AAAAAAAAAAGAATCTTACTGACTTTCCTTCTCGGGCTGGCTTTGGACTGCGATCCTCAGATCTCAGCCTCCTGAGTAGCTAGTATTATAGGCATGAGCCACCGGCGCCTGGCGTAGCTTTTTCTTTATATCACAGTGGCTGCAGGGACTGAATCAGAGAGTATACATTAGTGAGTCAATACCTACAAATTTATTGGAAAACCTGGTTAAAGACCAGGAGAAAAGCAGTGGTCATTGACATCCAAACTGAGTAAACATCTAAAGGTTGATCCAAAAGGAAGTGGCACTGTGGCTCAAATGGTAGAGCGCTAGCCTTGAGCTGAAGAGCTGAGGGACAGTGCCCAGGCCCAGAGTTCAGGCCCCACGACCGACCAAAAAAAAAGAAAAAGAAAGAAAGATCCAAAATAATATATATAAATAAATTCTATAATAAGAAGGGCTGGTCTTCACTTTGAAAGATGTCATTATTACAAATGTTCTTGCATTTGAAGCTACTACAAATAGACATGACATATGCCATCAGAAAAGTATTAAGAAATTCCTTCTGTAACAAATAGGGACCATAGAAGACATCTTAAAGCTGTGCTTAATTAGCTGGACTTTACTTCATTTCCTCTAGGATCTCTTACAACTTGAGGACAGAAAGGATGTCATACTTGATGGACCATACTTCAGGGGGCCTGCAAGTTAGAGAAACAGACTCCATCTGTGTGTCCAAAGGTAAACTGAAAGTCTGAAGATGAACACCTTTGAATATTGAAACAGTTATGAGTCTACTACTGAGGGCCACCTTGTCAGCCTTCCGGGGGATGGCTTGGCTATGTTTGTTTATTTAGTGCTGGTACTGTGGCTTGAACTCAGGTCCAGGCACTCTCCCTATAGCTTTTTCCACTTCAGTCAGGTATTTTACTACTTGAGCTACAGCTCTATTTCCAGCTTTTTTTTTCTGGCTTTTTGCAAGAATCTCTTCTATTTTTTTTTTTTGTTGCCCAGAATGAATTCTGAGATCTCAGCTTCCTGAGTAGGTAGGATTACAGGTGTGAGCCATGCTGCCCAGCTACTATTTTTTTTCTCTTGGCTCTTATCATCAATCTTTTCAACATTTTATTCTCAAGTTCTCATGATAAGGTTTCTACTATGTGAGTTTATGAGTGAAAGACAATTCCTGTGACTACCTGCACTACAATCCTATGACAGAAACCAGGTAGAAACTAGTGGGTTTCTCTACTTTATCCACACAATTACTTTTCAGTCTCACTAACTAGAGGCAGGTAATTTAAGACAAGAGGGATCAGGTCCAATAGAGTTTCTTCCTCACAGGCCTTAAAATACTTTTGGACAAGTATAGTGGTGAACATTTCCAATCCCAGGATTCTGAAGGCTGAGGAAGGAGGATCCTACATTCAATACTGTATGAGATATTCTTTTCTATCAAAGTATATTATATTCCTTTGTAAGAATTTTTAATTGCTGGGTTCTTTTTTTAAAAAATTGTTATTGTAAAGGTGATGTACAGAGGAGTTACAGTTACATAAGTCAGGTAAAGAGTATATTTCTTTTGAGACAATTGCATCACCTCCTAGTTTTTCCCTCCCATCCCCACCCACAAGTTGTATAGTTCATTTTCAATATAGTGTCTAGTGAGCACCACTGCTGCATTTGTTTAACCTTTGGCCCTCCATTTCTATGCCTCTTTTTTTTTTTTTGCAGTTTCGGGGCTTGAACTCTGGGCCTAGGTGCTGTCCTTGAGCTCTTCTGCTCAAGGCAAGCACTCTACCACTTCAGCCATAGCACCACTTCCAGTTTTCTGGTGGTTAATTGGAGATAAGAGTCTCACAGAGCTGGTTGCCAGTGACTCACGCTGGTGATCCTCGCTACTAAGGAGGCTGAGATCTGAGGATAGTGGTTTAAGGCCATCCCAGACAGGAAAGTCCATGAGACTCTTATTTCCAATAAAACCATCAGAAAACTGGAAATGGCTCTGTAGCTCAAATGGTAGAGCACTAGCTTTGAGCTGAGGAGCTGAGGGACAGCACCCAGGCCCAGAGTTCAATCCCCATGACTGACACACACACACACAAAAAAACGTCTCACAGACTTTCTTGCCCGGGCTGAGTTTGAACTGAGATCCTCAGATCTCAGCCTCCTGAGTAACTAGGATTACAGCCATTAGCCACCAGTGCCTGGCTTCCCCCCAACGCCCGCCCCCCCCCAGGCCTGGGGCTTGATTTCAGAGCCTGGGCACTGTTCCTGAGCTTGCTTGTTTTCTTCTTCCTCCTCCTCCTCTTCCTCCTCCTCCTCCTCCTCCTCTCCCTCTTCTGCTCCCCCTCCTCCTCCTCTTCTCCTTCTCCTCCTCCTCTTCTCCTCTTCCTCCTCCCTCCTCTTCTTCCTCTTCTTCCTCCACCCCTCCTCCTTGTCTTCTTCCTCCTCCTTCTCTTCTTCTTCTTTTGCCAGGGCTTTGAATTCAGGGCTTTGTCCCTGAGCTTCTTTTGCTCTTTTTTTGTTTATGTGGTACTGAGGAACCAAACACAGGGCTTCATGCATGCTAGGCAAGCATTCTACCATTAAGCCACCTTCCCAGCCCTCTGTGCTTCTTCTTACCTTTGATGAAACTCCAGTTAATGACCAAAAAGCCATTAGTGGAAATTGGGTGCCAGTGGCTCACTACTGTAATCATAGATAGTCAGGAAGCTGAGATCTAAGAATTGCAGTTTGAAGGCAGCTCAGGTGAAACACTTATCTCCAACTGTTGTTGTTATTAAATATAAGACATTTTTTCTATTTCTGAGGTTGGAACTCAAGGCCTCTTGATTGGCAGGTGCTTTCACCTGGCCATGCTCTGAGACAATTTGGCAATCCTTAGAAGGTAAATATAACCTCACCTATGATCTAGCTTCTCTTCTCTTTTGTAGTTACCCAACAGAAATGAAAACAAACATCCACACAAAGGTGTGTATACAGACATTCATAACAGCTCTATTTTCAAAGGCCCCTAATTGGAAACAACCCAATTTCAATCAACAATAGAAGGACAAACAAATGATGGCCTATTTATACAAAGGACAATAACATCCAGCAGTTAAGAGGAACTCTGGCATGGATTTTTCTCAAAATACTTTTGCTAAGTAAAAGCAGTCAGAGAAGAGATAGATATATAATACATTATTTAATCTGTATGAAGGGCTGTGAAGGTGGCTCAGTGGTAGAGTGCTTGCCTTGCATGCATGAGGTCCTGGGTTCGATTCCTCAGCACTACATAAGCAGAAAAAGAAACCGGAAGTGGTGCAGTGGCTCAAGTGGTAGAGTGCTAGCCTTGAGCTGAAGAGCTGAGGGACAGCGCCCAGGCCCAGAGTTCAGGCCCCACAACCAACAACAACAACAAAAATCTTATGAAGTTCTAGAAAATGGAAATCAATCTATAATGTCATAAGACATAGTATTTGAAAATAGTGGGGTTTGAGGTTGGTGTGGGATGGGAGAAAATGGACTGCAAAGGGCCTCAAAGAAACTGGAGTATGGGAGTGTATTCACAAATAAAAGTTATGAGCGGGGAGATGGGAAGGGATGGGAAGGGGAAACAAAGGAGGAGGCAACAATGTTTGATAAAAAATGTACTCATTACCTTACCCATTTATTGTAACCCCTCTGTACAGTATTTTTACAAAAAAAGATTCATTAAAAAAAACAAATAAATGTTATGATTAATATTTATATATGTTAAAACTAATCACAATTTCTACTCTTCCGGTGTGCATTGTAGGTACTATATCAGTTATATTTCAATAAAATAGATGTGTGTGTGTGTGGGTGCTGATACCAGAGCTTTAATCCAGAACCTTGAACTCTCAATTTGGCTTTCTAAGTCTTAACCCATAGCTAGAATTCTACCATTTGAGCCATGCCTCCACTTCTAGTTTTTGCATATTACTTGGTAATAAGAATTTCTCAGATTTCTGTGCCTGAGTTAGCTCTGAGCCTTAGTTCTCATATCTCAGCCTCCTGAGTAGTTAGGATTACAAGTGGGAACCACTGATACCAGATTAAAAAAGATTTTTGAAAATCTGGGATGGGCTAATAAACAAATCATCAAATGTGCAAAGTAGCTAAGGAGAGTAATCTCAGGAAAAGAGGTAAGAGGGGCTGGCTCAGTTGTAGAGTGCTTGCCTTGCATGCTTGAGGCCCTGGGTTCGATTCCTCAGCACCACATAAGCAAAAGGAAAAAAGCCAGAAGTGGCGCTGTGGCTCAAGTGGTAGAGCGCTAGCCTTGGGCTGAAGAGCTGAGGGACAGCACCCAGGCCCAGAGTTCAGGTCCCACGACCGGACCCCCCCCCCAAAAAAAAAAAAGAAAGAAAAAGAGGTAAGAATGGCAAAGAAACATTTCTGGCCATAAAGAAAATGGAAATCAAAACAACTCTGAGATTCCATCACCCCAGTTAGATTGGCCAACATCATGAATTCAAACAAATGATGGCAGGAATGTAGGGGGAAAGGAACCATATTGCACTATTGGTGGCAAGGTAAACTAGTATAACCACTCTGAACAGCAGTCTGGAGGTTCCTCAAAAAAACTAAACATAGACCTTCTCTATGACCCAGCCATACCACTCCTGTGCATCTACTCAGAACATCACACTATAAACACACTATAAAAACACGTCCATGTTCAGGGCTGCACTATTCACAATAGCCAACTTATGGAAACAGCTCAGATGCCCTAAAATAGATGAGTGGATACAAAAAATGGTAGCTATACACAATGTAATTTTAGACGGCAATTAGAAAAAATAATATATCATTTGCAAGGAAATGGATGAAGCTAGAACAAATTATATTAAGTGAGGTGAGCCAAGCTCAGAGACACAGTGCATGTTTTCTCTCATATGCAGAAGCTAGATCTAAAATACACTGGGACATGATAAATTATACAATATGCTATCATTCACACATAGAACAAAGGAGGATATTCTTAGGAGAGAAACACAAAGGCACAATGCCTATGTGTATCTGATCATATAAAATAATATTTATCAAAATGAACTCCAGGAAATGAAAACAAGAGGTTTTTCCTTTGTTGCTGCTTTGTTTTCTTTTCTTTTTGTTTGTTTATTTATCTATCTTTGGGAGGGTAGCAGGGCATAGAAATGGAGAGACAAAGGGTAAACAAATGCAGCAATGGTAGTCACTAGTTCAAAATGAACTATACCACTTGTGGATGGGGATGGGAGGGAAAAACTGGGAGAGAGCAAGGGAAGGCGTGACTGTCTAAAAGAAATGTACTCTTTACTACTTAACACCTTTAATTGTAATACCTCATTACATCACTTTTATAAATAACAATTTAAAATAAAATAAAAAATCCTGGGCCAGAGGTATGGCCAGCCTAGCAGGCAGGAAGCCCTGAGTTCAAACAATAGTATTACACCCTCCCATTCTCACTTGTCATCCTTTCCAAAGGGCAGATCAGAGGTGCTAGTGGAGGTGGCTCCCAGATAGAGATGCAAGCCCTCTTTCTTTTTTTGGGGGGGGGTCCGGTCATGGGGCCTGAACTCTGGGCCTGGGCGCTGTCCCTCAGCTCTTCAGCTCAAGGCCAGCGCTC